CCCAAGCATCCCTATATTCGATATTCATTGGTCGATATATAGGTTGGTCAATGAATAATTTTACGTCATCATTAAAAATAATAATAATAAATTTCGCGAGAGAGAAGATTGCATTGTTCATGCATTGTCTTTGTGCATTATGTTTAGTTCACTAATATCTTTACAACTACGAATGCTATACTCTTGTAATTTTCATTAGAGATGTTGTACGTCAGATCGAAATATTAAAGACTATCGGGTAAAAACCTTATAAAAGTATTTTATTGACATTACGATATCAACTCTACGTGCGTATAAACAACTGGATTGTTGTAAATTATGCTATTTTAACATTGGCATCAAAAGTAATAATCTATATAAGCGCAAGTAACTTGTGATATTACTACTATTACGTCTTTCCATTATATTGTCTGTATACACATAAATTTTACCCCACGATAAATAATATACGCGTAACAAATTACTGCCTGTCGATTATGTTGATATACTTGGTTGTCATGTGTAATAATGTAAGCTCCGTCTGATCCCCAAACCGCATTCACATACGTAAAACATTGAAAGTTTATTTCGAAGACATTGCATGTATCACTGAGTCGTATAACACATGTGATCGAAAATAACGTTTTATTCTCACAAAAAACTGCACAATGTACGCCATTATCGAAGATTAGGAAGAATACTGTGTATTTGCAAAATTATCTTAAATGTTGATTCGTAAGCCGACCGACATATGTTGGATAGCCCTAAACAATACATAAGAAGTGGCATACAGTGTAGCCTCGTTATAACGGATCTGTCGGGCTGAGAAAATTAGTCCGTTATAGTGAATATCCGTTAACACGTTATACTAATGTATCACGTGATATGCACACAAAGGTTAACCAATCATATTTAAGGATTATTTAAATAGACAAAGGTTTGAAAAAATGATGTTACTTGTCTTGAAAGGGCATATTGCAACCGACCTTTCCATAACTTCTTCAACCATCGGATATACTGGCTGACGCTCTTTTTTCAGTTGTGCACGGTGCTCATTATTTTGTAATTGTAGCCCATTTATTTCATTGTCGCCAAATATCTGAGACAGCTTGTTCAGATATCTTATACACAATAGTGAGATCTTTTATTTAGATACTGAAGGTTTCTGGCAAATTTCACGTTTTCTTGTGCCTGAATCGCGGCACGCTTGCGTTTCGAGATATGATATTGGGCAACGCAAAAAAAAAAGACCCGGACGAGAAAACATTTTAATGGGAGAATGATTTTTGATTGGCTGATTTGGTGGCCCGCTATTACCGGACTAATGAGTCAGTGATGGCGAAAAAAAGGGGCAGTCACATGATAAATACTGCAGTATGATTGGGTGCCATGCCAGT